TTTAACTTTCTATTCATCAAAGAATCCTGAAAAATTAAATGTATCACGGTTTCCACAAAAATATTGTGCAGCACAACTGTTTTCAACATTGATAATAATCAGAAATGTTTCTTGAGCAGCAAATCAGCATATTAGAATGATTTCTGAAGATCATGTGACACTGAAGACTGGAGTAATGATGCTGAAAATTCAGCTGCGCATCACAGCAATAAATGACATTTTAATAGATATTCACATAGAAAACAGCTATTTTAAATTGTAAAAATATTTCACAATATTCCTGTTTTTACTGTATTTTTGATCAAATACATGCAGCCTTGGTGAGCAAAAGTGACTTCTTTTAAAAACATTTTAAAAATCTAACCGACCAAAACTTTTGAATGGTAGTGTATGTATATTAATTTCTATTTCATGGTGTCACAATGCTGAAATCCATCAATTTATTGATCATCAGAACACAAGGCTGAATCACACAGAACACAAACACTACATAACTGATCTCATCGTACCGTACACTGAAAAAGTGAATCCTCCAGCTAAGCCCGGGAAGCCCAAAGCGCTCCTGTGAGGCAACGTTCCCTCCTCTATCTGAAGAAATACAGAAAATAACCATTAAAGATACTGCTAAAGTGTTATGTTTTTAAAAAAAATAGTGATGTTTGCTAAGTCAAGCACCATTATTGTTCATATTTTAGGTTAGAAGTTTGTTCAAAATACAAAAGAGCCATTTCTACAGACCAGAATATCACAGAGACTCTAAAGGTATAGTTCACCCAAAAATGAAAATTAGCTGAAAATGTACTCACCCTCAGATCATCCAGTTTGTTTCTTCATCAGATTTGGAGAAATGCAGCATTGCATCAGTGTCTCAGCAATGGATGCTCTGCAGTGAATGGGTGCCGTCAGAATGAGAGTCCAAACAGCTGATAAAAACATCACAATAATCCACAAGTAATCCACACTTAAATGATGACAGCATTTTCATTTTTGGGTGAACTACCCTTTAACTTCAAACTCTGGCCAAAATACGAGTCCATAATCCATAATAACACTAAGTTCCTCCAGTGAAAAAGTCCATCTCCTTTGGTCTCTCACATCAAAATCCAGCCACATATTTGTTTAGAGCTGTTTTGGCTTGTAAACGGTGCTTGATCTGTGCAGATTTCTCTCCTGATTCAGACCAGAACACTTTTTCACTGGAGGAAATATTATTATGGATTATGGATTCATATTTTAGCAGGAAGTAATGGTTTGAAGTTAAAAATGTCTTAATGCTGGATTTGTTTCAGCTTTTGTCTTCTCCAGATGTTAACTGATGTACTGGAGTGCTGTGGATTATTGTGATGTTTTTATCAGCTGTTTAGACTCTCATTCTGACG